GGGGAAACATTTTATATTAAACCCTCTGAATCCATGGAATTTTGCCGTTCTGAAGCTATTCGGTCCATCTTCTGTTCACTGTCTGGCTAGAGAGAGATAAACCTTACCACAAACCTGTTTGCAGGTCATATACTTTGCAGCCTTCTGACCCAGGTGCTAAATATATATCAGCTTGTGAAGTTCAAGCATGAACAGAAAGCAAAATTTTGAGATAGGTTTAGGGTGTCAAAAAATTGTTTTGACTTTTACTTTTTCTTTTCTTATCAGTGATTTGGAAGTAGCTTATTAGTATCAACCACATTGTAACACTAATACATTGTAAAAATTCTCTCAACAGAAGACTGGGAAGATGATCTCAGAGCACCCAATACACCTGCATCCCCTGGAATTAGGATGACTCTTGAATTTGAATGCCAAGATGGAGAAATTCGCAAGCTCAACATTTGTGAGGCAGCTTATGCAAATTGCCTTTTTAGGGTAGTTCATCATCATGGACTACCCCCTTTTTAAGTACTATACATAATTAGTTCTGATCTTTCAGAGCTGTGCTCTAGCAATGCCCACTAGCCCTTGCAACTTTTTCTTTGAGTGCAATAAAATTCAGGCTTTTGCCATAACATGTACGCTGAAACATTATTCAAATCCAAGGAAAATGGTACTACTACTAATAATAATAATAATAATTTATATAGCGCTATTCAGCTACCCTTTCATAGCGCTTTACAATAATCAGGTTAACGTAGAACCTAAAAACTAAAAAATATGATAAAATACCGAGACAAATTATTACATCCAAACACGGCACAACGATCTTTTTTTCCCATTACAATCTTTTTCTAGGAAAACGTAAAGAAAAATTGGCCCGAAAAGCGCGCGTAAATACTGAGCGAGTACATCGGATCGTGCTCATGCCCCCTGGGCATCCCATAATACTACTTAAATCTAATTAATTCAATATGGCCGCCGTATCGGTAAAAAGGTCAGTTGCACCACATGACTCAGTTTTTGACTCTAGAATTATAGAAGTGAGCGGTTTAGTCTTTCAAATTTGTTTTCGCACTTACTCTGTAAAGGTTTTCACTACTTAACAAATCTTGTTTTGTTTACTCTACAGTTAAAAAAAATGAAGTGAACAAGTAATGAAAATTTCAAGCAAAATCAGCTCAGGCAGGAACTTAAATGGTTCAAGAATTTACCAGCGTTGTTAGTTAAGTACATTATTCGCCTACATGGGCTTTAATAGCTGAAATAATTACAGGGATAATTGCCGCCGTTTGCATTTTCAATGAACATAGCCCTTCTTTCATCCTTCGAACCGCTTTTATTCCGGCATTCAATGGTTAAAATATAAACAAACACTCGTGAAAAGAGTTTTCCTTCAAAAAAATACGTCACCCAGCTGATTTGCATTGTACCATCCCCGGGACATCTTTAATTAAAAGTGATCCACCCAAGATTTGGTGGCATTCAAACTTTCGCTGCATGTGATCAACTCCAAACAGTTAACTCTCCTCGAACGAATTTTGTCAGGGGAAGCCACCTTGGATCTCGACACAAGGGAAATTGTACTCATCTACGCTCTCTAATTTTCGAAGCACTATGTGGTCTTCAAATGACCACGCAAAGCTAACCTTACTTGGCTTTTGACGTTGATGTTTTCATTGCCAGATTTCTGTGTGGATTCTGTACTAATTCTCCAACACTTCCTTTCAACAAAATGGCTGGCAAAATCTCTACGGTCAGCCATTCAATGCTGGACGTTTTACGAAATGACAGAATAACCATCAACGTTGGTGGTTTTAGACATAACACTTTTTTGACGACATTAAAAAACATACCCGATACTCGTCTTTCGTGGATTGCAGAAAACCACCCAAACAGCCCCGATTACGACCCGGTACTGGGCGAATACTTTTTCGACCGACACCCTCGTATCTTTTCCGAGGTGTTGAATTACTATCGCATCGGTAAACTGCACTGTCCGGTGGATGTATGTTCGGCGCTATTTCAAGAGGAACTATCTTACTGGGGAATTAACGACCGTGACATTGAGCCTTGCTGTTGGGTGTTGTACAAAAGGCAGATCAATACAGAAGAGACGCTAAAGACTTTTCATCTCGACAGCGCCAGACGATCATCTGGGGAAGAAGCTAAACAAGTAGAGCGAAAGCGAACTATTGTAAGCTTGTTCGGATCGGAAACAGTTCTCAACAGAAATTTGTGGGAAAGATGGAGACGATTTCGGCCAAAAGTGTGGTCTTTGTTGGACGACCCACGCTCTTCAATAGCAGCTAAGGTAAACGAACTTCACTTAAAAGTAATTCCGTAAATCCACTCGTATGAAATATAACAAAAAAACCAGATTTTGTCTGATAAAAGCAACAAGATAACAGTCTGATTCAAGGTACTGGGAAATGACTGACCAAAAAAGCGTTTATATATTTTCCAAGCTTTGATTTAAACAAGGGGGTCACTGAGAATTGACTCAGAAAAGTGGACATTCGTTGCTAAAATTTGTTAGACAAAGCCGACTTATTACCCAGTAAAAGGCGTAGAGCATTAACAGATCACTCGAGCGCTGGGATAAATTGTTTGTAACATTTAATCAGGCCACATATTTTTTTATACACATCGTTCTTGCGTCCACCTGCATCCAGTGAATTCGCTCATTCATACGTGTAAAAAAAATATGCGGTTTCAAAAATGTCCGGACTCGCGTAGACAGGGCCCGTAAGGCCATTGTTATTCGATAAAAATGAGATTTGATCATGCCTTTCGGAACTCACTAAACCTTATTTCGTGTTTCAACTTTGACCGTTTCGGATAATAAATGTTTTGTTTACACTTTATAACCATTTTATCGAGAAAAATAATTCTTTCTATACGTGATGTTGTGGGACATTAGTACAAAAGCATCAATCAAATATTGACTCGGCGCGATTATTATTTTGGGCAATGCCTTTAGGCGCTATTTTACGTATTTATCTGAAACTATGGAAAGGGCGGGTAAATAATGTGTTATTTGTGTTTCATACTGTTGCTGCTCACAAATTCGATTGCTTCAATGAAAAAAACAACATAGCTATCTCGACTCCACCCTCCTAAATACTATGTTCGGGTCTATTTTTTCTCTCCCGTCGTAAACAAAAATGCGTATTTTCATATTCCCCCCGTCCATTTTTTTTTTTGTTCTTAAACAAAATTACACGAAATCTAAGCAGGTGATTTTCTTCAAAAGATCACCGATCACCTGACAATTTTAACCTTCTATTGAAACTGCTCTCATTGTTCGTTGATTGTCAGTTACGGATCAGAAACATGAAATCCGAATTTTTTCTCACTTAGTTTGGCGCAAATTGCAACTAACCACACATATGGAACGTTCCGCTTTGAAAGCTTCATTCACGATGCTTCAAAGAAGCGCAAATTAAATTAGTTCTCAGACTGCCCTTTTCAATTTCGCGAGTATACACTTTGTACCCAGTCTACTAATATCCGCACACGAATCAAGAGAAAAGGAGCCGCGGCGCGATATGCGTATCATCGCTGAAAAATAACTGAAAAAAGCTGCAGTTTTAAAATCCTTTTATACTAATTTTACGAGGGTAAATTAAAAAAGATGGCGGCATCTACCAAACTGTCGTTTTTGACAACTTCCTGAACGAAGCATTGTGCGTGAATGATCAAGAGCAAACAAATAATGCTGTAACTGTTACATTAGAATCTATCTATCAACAAGTATTTACACTGACTGACTTTTTGCGGCGCGTATGCCTCTGGGGTGCTTAATTATTATTAGTTCCATTTTTCGCCGGTTTTACTAAAACCAAAAATACACACATATGTCTCATCAGAGTAAAAAAAAATTGTATGACAGATGTACAATAAAATGGACCGATTAACAGCGTTCACCAGGCGCCACGATTTAGAACTTACTCTGCTTACTGAATGATCGATCCTTAGCCTTCTTTTGCCAAATCAAAGTAATGCTTCAAACGACGCAAAAATATAATACACCTGAATATGGACTGGACTGTCATGCGACAGTGCTAATCAACGAACTGATAAAAACCGATTTCACCTGATCCGGCCAGATTGAAAATTAATGTTTAAAACAAAACAAAGATACGGAATTGAAATTTAAATTGCAATTGTTTTTAACTAAGCTCGTATCGACTTCCCAAAATACATCGACTTTAAATTACTTAAGATAAATGACCCCACAAAAAAATTAACTGAAGAAGAGGTGTCACACAATAGATGTTAAAATTCAAAACCAAATCAAGGATTCTCTTTATTCTGAATCGAAATTTTAAGCAATATTGATGTTTAATGAAGCAGTGATCTCTGATTAATAAATTACATACACTTGAAAACCGGCAGAAAGCAGTAGGCGCGAATGGACCACACCAGATGACCCGTTTGGTCTAAGAACATTGAAAGCGAAAAAAACAAATTCAAAACTGCATTTGGTTTAATTGAGCACATATTGACTTGACATTATTCGCCTACATGGGCTTTAATAGCTGAAATAATTACAGGGATAATTGCCGCCGTTTGCATTTTCAATGAACATAGCCCTTCTTTCATCCTTCGAACCGCTTTTATTCCGGCATTCAATGGTTAAAATATAAACAAACACTCGTGAAAAGAGTTTTCCTTCAAAAAAATACGTCACCCAGCTGATTTGCATTGTACCATCCCCGGGACATCTTTAATTAAAAGTGATCCACCCAAGATTCGGTGGCATTCAAACTTTCGCTGCATGTGATCAACTCCAAACAGTTAACTCTCCTCGAACGAATTTTGTCAGGGGAAGCCACCTTGGATCTCGACACAAGGGAAATTGTACTCATCTACGCTCTCTAATTTTCGAAGCACTATGTGGTCTTCAAATGACCACGCAAAGCTAACCTTACTTGGCTTTTGACGTTGATGTTTTCATTGCCAGATTTCTGTGTGGATTCTGTACTAATTCTCCAACACTTCCTTTCAACAAAATGGCTGGCAAAATCTCTACGGTCAGCCATTCAATGCTGGACGTTTTACGAAATGACAGAATAACCATCAACGTTGGTGGTTTTAGACATAACACTTTTTTGACGACATTAAAAAACATACCCGATACTCGTCTTTCGTGGATTGCAGAAAACCACCCAAACAGCCCCGATTACGACCCGGTACTGGGCGAATACTTTTTCGACCGACACCCTCGTATCTTTTCCGAGGTGTTGAATTACTATCGCATCGGTAAACTGCACTGTCCGGTGGATGTATGTTCGGCGCTATTTCAAGAGGAACTATCTTACTGGGGAATTAACGACCGTGACATTGAGCCTTGCTGTTGGGTGTTGTACAAAAGGCAGATCAATACAGAAGAGACGCTAAAGACTTTTCATCTCGACAGCGCCAGACGATCATCTGGGGAAGAAGCTAAACAAGTAGAGCGAAAGCGAACTATTGTAAGCTTGTTCGGATCGGAAACAGTTCTCAACAGAAATTTGTGGGAAAGATGGAGACGATTTCGGCCAAAAGTGTGGTCTTTGTTGGACGACCCACGCTCTTCAATAGCAGCTAAGGTAAACGAACTTCACTTAAAAGTAATTCCGTAAATCCACTCGTATGAAATATAACAAAAAAACCAGATTTTGTCTGATAAAAGCAACAAGATAACAGTCTGATTCAAGGTACTGGGAAATGACTGACCAAAAAAGCGTTTATATATTTTCCAAGCTTTGATTTAAACAAGGGGGTCACTGAGAATTGACTCAGAAAAGTGGACATTCGTTGCTAAAATTTGTTAGACAAAGCCGACTTATTACCCAGTAAAAGGCGTAGAGCATTAACAGATCACTCGAGCGCTGGGATAAATTGTTTGTAACATTTAATCAGGCCACATATTTTTTTATACACATCGTTCTTGCGTCCACCTGCATCCAGTGAATTCGCTCATTCATACGTGTAAAAAAAATATGCGGTTTCAAAAATGTCCGGACTCGCGTAGACAGGGCCCGTAAGGCCATTGTTATTCGATAAAAATGAGATTTGATCATGCCTTTCGGAACTCACTAAACCTTATTTCGTGTTTCAACTTTGACCGTTTCGGATAATAAATGTTTTGTTTACACTTTATAACCATTTTATCGAGAAAAATAATTCTTTCTATACGTGATGTTGTGGGACATTAGTACAAAAGCATCAATCAAATATTGACTCGGCGCGATTATTATTTTGGGCAATGCCTTTAGGCGCTATTTTACGTATTTATCTGAAACTATGGAAAGGGCGGGTAAATAATGTGTTATTTGTGTTTCATACTGTTGCTGCTCACAAATTCGATTGCTTCAATGAAAAAAACAACATAGCTATCTCGACTCCACCCTCCTAAATACTATGTTCGGGTCTATTTTTTCTCTCCCGTCGTAAACAAAAATGCGTATTTTCATATTCCCCCCGTCCATTTTTTTTTTTGTTCTTAAACAAAATTACACGAAATCTAAGCAGGTGATTTTCTTCAAAAGATCACCGATCACCTGACAATTTTAACCTTCTATTGAAACTGCTCTCATTGTTCGTTGATTGTCAGTTACGGAAGCGTCTTTTACAAAATCAAAAGTCAAACTGATTGGTATTATAATTAAAACCGTGAATTCTGGCATATTTGATTCACCCTTTTTAAGGCCTTTAACACCACAATATTAACACGCTACTTACATTTTGAATGGAACAACGTCGCCCAATCGATAACCAAGCATCAGGTAAACCAAGTCCTCTTTCTAAACGGACCAAAAACAACAAACGTACAAAGGCAACTTCTTAGTACCAAAACGCTGACTTGAAAAATAACAATTGGGAGAGTTAGACTATTGAATTCAGTCGAGTTACAACTCGAGCATGCTTTCTCAAATAATCTTTTACGGCATTCTTTGACAAAAGTTATGACAATTTCTTTGTACTGCGCCTGTTTAAAATTGGGGAAATGCAATGTTTTGAACTGAACATAAGTCTGAGCTATTCTTAGGCTCAAAGTCTTACAGTGAAAGGTTTTTACAATAACACTGAGAGTAAGATTTTCTCTTACAGGTTTTCATTGGCTTAACAAGTCTCTTTATCATGATTTCCGTCACGCAATTCTGTCTGGGTACCATGGCAACTGTCAAAGAACACAAAACTACAATTAAGGTCTTGCGAACTCTGGATACCATGACATCGATTTGGTTCACGGCAGAGTTCCTCCTTCGTCTCATTTTTTGCCCAGATTTAAAAAGCTTCGCTCGCAATCCAATGAACTTGATTGATTTACTGGCTGTGTTGCCATTCTATCTCTCACTGTACCACGTGACAACACGAACTTCATGGTTGGTTGTAATGAGAACGCTCAGAATCTTCCGTATTTTCAGCCTCTCGTTTTCCTTCCAAGTTCTTTTTCACACACTAATGTCCAGTAAAAACGAGTTGTTACTGGTTTTTATAAGCCTCATCGTGCCCATAATTCTGTTCTCCAGTATGATTTACTTCGCAGAGAACGAGACCAACAGCGAAAAGTTTCCCAGCATCCCAGAATCCTTTTGGTGGGCAATTGTTACAGTCACTACGCTAGGGTATGGTGACGTAGTTCCGGTCACTAAAGTAGGAAAGATAATCGGTGCTATGTGCGCCATATGCGGCGTCATAATCATCGCACTTCCGGTATCAGTGATTGGCAGCAATTTCTCTTACTTTTACATGCAAGCACGCACGCGTATTCAGCAGCCTCGTCGGTCGACAAAGATGCCGACACTCTCTCACGTTCCCGCCAATTTGATGTACAAGCGTTTGGCGCGCAGACGCAGTGGCTCGGGAGCCGAAGAAAATGGAAAGTTACACGGGAAGTCTTTCGTAGGTCGTTCGAGCAAGAAGCGGAAAACGTCTTCACAGTATCGGAGGAGGCCCATCCGAAAATCAGGGTTCGCAAGTCGAGCTAGTCAGGCCATGGAAATGACCTACACACCCAAACAAAACCAACAAACCGAGACCCTGGCAGATGAGGTTTAAAAGTGCGTTCCTTAGGCAGATTAACCGGAACGAGATCAGTGATCCGAGATCACTCGGATCATGTGATATTAAATTATCCGATGAATCCTTTCCCAGGGTGGATTGGTCGGTTCCTATGACGTGCGATGATCCGAGTGATTGGTAACTAATCCTGATCCGGATCATCACAATGAACTCACCCTATTTATAATAAACATTCCTAAGGCTTTTGGGAGCGAGAAGCTATTCAATAAACAAAAGCAATGATAGAACCCAGGGAAAAACTTCTTTGTAGGTTACACCTAATGATTACGTAGATACATATCCAAGAAATTAGAGATAGGTGAATTACTTAAAGTGCAAGATCATAGAATTTGTAGGAAGGTTTCTAGTATCCCGAACGTAGAACCACCCTCTTAGAGCTAACTTCCCTGAGACTAAGATTACAAGATACAACTTAAGGAATAAATCTCCCGCAACGCCCGCCGTTCACACGGATCGCTTTAAGAATACATTCTTTAATAGAATTGTCTTCAAGTATAATGTAGCTTTGTAAATAGTGTACTTTCTGTATTCGATTTTTATATTTCTTTTTATGTATATACCAATCTTATTTAGAGACATACTTTAGCCCATTAACATTGTTATATTTAAATGTAACATAAGATATGTAATTTTATCTTTTGAACAATAAAGACACTTTATTTACACAGAGAGTAAACCTCGCAACCTACCTGACAGCGTACTAGCCCTCTTTGGGACAGAAAATTCATCACAGTATGTTTTCAAGACAGGTGATAGTGCACAAAGTAGGATCATGATGTGCTCCAGATAGCATTCATCTGAAAGAAAACAAAGCAACTTAATCTGAGTGATACTAGCGTTAAGATACACAAAGTGCAAGCGTCTTTAAGTTGCCTACCTTTACGGAACCACTAATGCAAAATAAAATGAATAATGTAAAGAGGCAGTACAGAGATTCCAAATTTACATATTACTTTCCAGATATATCCTGTATCCTTGTAGGTTCATTTCAAGAAATAAATACTTAATTTACACTGCAAAAAAAAAAAAGAATAGATCAGCTGAGTATGAAAAAACAGCTGGTCTAAACCTATGTGCAGTAATAAAATATTAAAAAAAAAAATAGTACACAGTAAAAAAGCGGAAAGATTAATATTTACAATAAAAAAGGTGTTAAAAAATTAAAATCAATTAATCTACAACCTACATTTATGCTGTGTTTTGTCTTGTTCTTGCAAATACTTAAATGTCTTTCTTTAAAAAGATCCTAATGTTAGGCCATCAACCCGTAATTCATTAGGTAACTCGTTCCAATCCTTTGCTCCAGTGAATTTAAAGGTAGACTAGCCAATAGTGGATTTTACTTTAGGCAGATGAATTTCTCGTTTATCTCTTACCTCTGTTATTATTCGTTCAGCCCCTGGACGTAAGCAGTCGCTTGCTAGTCATTTCGTGATCAGGCCTTACTAGTGTTAGTTTGTTCTGCCCAAGAGATCTAGAGATCTAGCTAGAGGATCCATCTCAGATAGCCACCTTCCCGACATAAGGCTAATACAACTTGATGATGTATAATCTCATGCGTCAACTGTAGGTTTTTATACGCAAAATGTTACTGTATACCTTCCCACATTCCACAAACATCCCTGATAGTACGCAAGGAAATTTGGTGGTGATGGGGTGAGGGGAGGTGGGGGGGACACTTAGGGAAGTTTGGGCAGGGGTGTACCACTGCGGCCTTTAAACAATGGCCCTCTTTAAGACAAATCACTTAGGTTACAAACGGAAAATTAGTATCAGGTAAGTCTTTTGGAAACTTAAAGGAGGGGATTACGTATAGCTTGTATACTAAATGAGGGTTAAGGGCCTCTCAATTTACTTGAGGTTTTGCGTTAACTACAAAAATCATAGCAATGGTAAAAGGTTGATAATCTTCCATTTAATAGCACTCAGAATTTGCATTAAATAAAGTACGATGTTTAACAGTATTAGTATCAACGCAAAGAGATAATCAAAACGTTTATACCATAGGAACAAAAATTGCATGCGGAAAGAAGCACACATTAAAAAGAATAAAATAAGAGTTAATAAAATTATGAAATATTTGTCATCTCGCTGTGCTTGACAAAGATTCTTCTGTGATGGGGGAAAGACCATTGTCCGGCTCGGGTAAGCGGCTGTTTTCACCAAGAATATGCGCCAGATCACTGAACCTAAAGGACATAAAAATAAAAAAGGCTCACAAACCGGACTTTCTATTTGTTGTTTGTTTTGTGATTAATTGCCAATTCCTTCTCCAAGGCTCAAGCAGAGGGCTTTTCGCGGCCAATGCTTAATGATGTAAAGGTCTTTTGCTGTTTTTGGATGTTGTGTTCTGACAACGTAAACAGCGTCGGACATTACAGGAAATTGGTCAAACACTCTTCCCTTGATGGAATGAAAGACTAAAAATGGTCATTAACGCTCTAGAAAGTAAATTGTACTAACTTGGAGCCTTTCA